TTCTCTCTCAACTTTTCTTGCTTTGATGTTCCTTCTCCTCTCTGTGAAGCCCGAATTCAGCTAAAGGGCTCATGATAGCTGTCAAACCGCCTGCCATTTCAAATAAATACATAGATATTTATACAAAAAATTCATATCAAATCGAAATTTTGCGCTAAAAATGCTTAATCTACTTTGAGATTTCATTTGTAACTTTGCATATACTTTTATGACGTCTTTGACCCTCTACAACTCCACTGAATGCTTATTGACATTGACTTTTGTATGGCAGTTGATAATGGCTTTTTGAGCTTTTCCTAAATTATCATTTTATTTTCTTTTTGTATGTTCCCAATTAAACCTCAGACTCTTAAGGGTTACTTTAATGTCTAGAGACCCTAAAACGAAGTTGAATGTCAATCGTCATATTTTACAAGTACCTATTAAATCACAAACCAACTGAATAACCTTGGTGTAAATAAAAGAGCCAGTGATTTGGGGAAATAGATTATGAAATATTATTATTGTTAAGTAACTACGTCAAGAAATGGTTATATATAAAAGAGCAACTAAATATAGACTAAAAGTAGAATAAGTCACCTGTTGTGTGTTTATCTCTTATTCAACTTATGACAGAGGTAGTGCAAGATTTATTTAAATGAAATGCTGACATGTCTTAAGAAGTTAGATAGCAGTGGCTAACAAGTTCGTTATTTAATTATTTCATAAATGTATCAAGAAACAGCATTGCTATAAGCGGGGTGTATCTCTTTTACAACTGAATTAAACTCCTTATTTGGGACTTGGTTTCCAGAGTTACTTCAGTTATGTACTTTTTGGAAGGAAATATAAAAATCGTAAACTGTCATTTCTCTTCTTTGAAGTAAATAATCAGTAATCGGTATTAATTACATTCGTCATAGAATATCTACCACTAGTAATGATCCCAGTAACTCTGAGTTATAAACCGCCTTTGCAGAACAAAGCAAAAGTTGTCAGATTTAACTACGATATTAGAGGAAATAATATGATCATATGAATTGTTTATTTGTTGGAGTGAACATTAACTAAGTAAGTAATCGAATGAAAATTTCCATGACGTTTTAAAGTTCGCACAAACATTTCCTCATGGACAGCATAATATCAAAGATCGAATTGGACAGCACTAGCAAATGGTGCATACTAAATCACAAACTTTTCAATACTCATATGAATACTAAGGCATCATTACTAGTCTGTTGGGAAAACACACCTCTAAAGCGTGAAGATGATGCTGCTCAATAGTTTCAACCTTGATACATTTGAAAATAGGTTAAAGATCAATCTTAGTTTAATGGATAAACATTTTGCAAATGAGATTCAGTTACATTTCTATCATAATTAGATTATTAAAGAAGCCGCAGTAAGTGGCAATCGATGCCTGTTTTCCAAACCCTCCCGATTGTCTAAAATTCGCAGAAAAGTCAAATGACTTAATTTAAAACTCTGAAATAAAACTACTGTGAAATGATGCAAAACAAGTTGTATGAGCTGAATTTATATTGTACTTTATTTAGAGCACAAAGCTAGCCTGCCTGAATCAAGGAATCATATGCGTGCAAGACGATTCTAGAGGGTGCGCCGTGCGTTTGGAATCATGGTATGATAATCTGTGCTCAATATTTACTCAAAGTTTTGTTAAATGTATCTATTTACTAAACATATTTGTAGTGACAATACTTTGCAAAAATAAAAGAAAGAGTTGTTTAGGTTTAGTAAAGACTTATTTGTTTTGACTTCGATTTAATTTACAATTGACTCATATTATTGGCAAGGAATTAAGAAATTAAGATTGTTTCAATGTTTTAGTGAGAAATTTATCATATCATCTACGTCGATCTCTTAAGAGTATAACATCATGTAAACAAACATAGCTAATCTCTTTGTTACGACCTGTTTATAAATGATACTTTATTGTTTGCCTTGATTTTCCGTTTTCATATACATGTTCATTTTCAAGATTATTTACTCATAAGCGTCTTTACATTGCGAATAAAAGCAGATTTTCTATGGGAAACTTGCAATTAAATGAGACATTTTCTTGCTTCACTAGAGTCTAATGGAGCAACTTCCAACAAAGTGTCCAATTGTAATTAAAGAACAGAACAATGTTTCCATTTATGTTTTAAGTAAGCATCCATTCTGTATTCATGTGACATGCCCTAGGCTAGTAAGTGGAATCTCGTACAATGTAGAACGACCTGAAAATTGTGAAACAGCTACAGATCAAATAGTAAGTTCGAGGGTGCATGAGTGTGGCAACTTCTCTGGCAAAAAGAGATCGAAATTTGATCAGTAGCGCAGTAATTCTACAATAATTTACTAAGTACCTTCCCCATAATTGTTTCTATTTTCTCACCCCTGCAGACACAATCAAACTAAATTAAGATGCTAAATAATGCTTGAGCACTTCGTTAGTGGAAACCTTTAAAATATTCAACACATTTTATCAAAAACCAATTTGTGTGGTTTCGTATAAATATTCTAGGTAACTGATTAACTCAAATGATTATTAGGACATGTGAATGCCATAAATAAATTAAAATAACGCAAATAGAAGCGAATAGGATTTTTTTTCAAATTATACATTAAAGTGCGTTGATTTTAGTCATAACTTTCCTTATTTGTAAATTAAGGTTTTCCTAATATAAGAAGTTTAGAGAAATGGACAACAAAATTTTTACTTCATTCGTGAATGTAAACCACCGTAAAGGTAAGCACAATCTCGTTAGAAAAGGATAAAAAATTAAGTATTATCTTTCTAGTATTACATTTCCATTAATGAAATCTGTTTTAATTAGTTCATACACTTGCTTCGTTTCAAATCATTTAGTGGCAACTGTTTAAAGGAATTTTATAATTTTAAATTTCTTTATTTGGTTATGCATTTATTTATTTGAAAATAAAATGTTAAGCGGTTTGCCTGAGTCATTAAAACTTCAATTAATTGACTTGAAATAAGACGAAGAATTTTTTATGAGCCGATTTCCAATAATCCGTGTCGATTATAGAAAAAAAATTACCACATCTTTAATCAATTTGCGAAAAAATGCCATCATTCCTATAGGTTTCTATTTACTGCATTTTACAGGCATGAAATTGAGAACGAATATATAAATAAATAAATCGTGACTAGTCGAAAACTGTCGGTTCCGAAAATATTATTTATTTTACGTTCGAAAGTCGTATTCTGAACAAATGTGCAAGCCATTAAAACTTAAATTTTAATATTGCACCGATTAGTAGTTGGCAATACACGCCTATCAATTCAACATAATGCTGAGTGATTTTATGGTTATCAGGTTACAAGTGACCTGGAGCAGTAGTCGAAAGTTTAAGTTGAATATTGCTTATCTCAATGGAAAATGCACATATGAATAGTAATGGCGAAGATACATAAATTCGTTTTAAAGGATGACAATCGAAGATATCTGATTTATTGTTTTGTGATATATATTTGTTTATATATAGAAGAAAATTTCCGGTAATTTTTTTGTGTTAATTTTATTGAATATTTCAAGTGGATACGTATTTACTAACTCATGAATCCCATGCGTCTATAATCATAATAACTCGAAGTCAAATCAAATCAAATACCGAGTAGCAGTCTTCATAATAAAGAGAAGTCAAATCAAATGCCGAGTGATAGACAAAAAACGAATGCCGAGTGATAGAATTTTTGCCGTAAGAAAGTACGTTGCCCAGGGTGCACCACGTGGAGGTAAGTCTATCGTACGTTGTCCAGGGTGCACCACGTGGAGGTAAGTCTATCGCGCACCCCCCAAAAAATTCGATTGGAATGCCTTCCTATGATCAAATATCAAATATCAGCATTACCCACAACTGATTAATAAGTGCCATTGGAAGCTTGAAACTAGGATATTTCAAAATATGGATTTCAGTTACAATAAAGTTAAAATTCTTCTGACAGCTAATGATGTATAAAGAAAGACGTAATTGTTAAATAATTTTAAATGATATAAACATAATAATTACCGCAAATAGATATAAGGTTTAGTATTTTCTAAGTCTAAACATATTAAATGATGTGCTTCCGCTTTAATCTAATTGAAATAACCCATTGTATGCTAACGATTTCTGAATATTTTCTTTTTTCTATTTACCTTTCCATTTAATGTGTTTAAAAAAGGCTAACACAGTTTAATAAAAATCAGTCAAAGCTTCTTACTACCACGCAAAGGAAGAGGGAAGATACGCGATAAAAAGTAAATAATAATAAAAATATGCATCTTTTTGTGCACTTATTAGAGACGAAAATGTAATGTTTTAAAACAGGATGAATAGCCTTTAGGTATTTACTAATTGTATTAGAGTTATTTCTTATACATAATATTATTTCAGCTTTTGAAGAAAAAGTAAGAAAATATTAAAAAATGTGTCTAATTCCGAAGAGAATTTAATTATTTTATAAAATATGTTCATTAAAAAGAGCAAAAAAATTTTTAATTATTATTTCTTTATTATACAAAGCTGAGGAATAGGGTTCGTTTAACCGTGCAGATTGGTAAGTGTTCTGTATTTTCATTCGCCAGATAATCTCAAGTTCAAGACTTGCTAACGGTGCGCGCTGTATTTGCGTTCTACATTTTCATTATTGATATGTAAGTTTGGCTATTTTCTTCAACTGTGGTTCGCGAATTTAATAGTATTTCGTTAATTTCTGCTTTAACTCGTCATTGATTCAGGTTTCCTTGAGCATTTGGCATAGTTGCGTTCTGTGGGTGTTAAAAATTAGGTGTTTTTGATTGTGCACGCTCAATTGCAGTGGAATGGTTGAACTTATAATTTTCCTTGAAATAGTTTCTAAGTTGTGCACAAACAGATCGGTTTAGCACTATTACGGCTTTTAATGCTTCTTTTTAAGTTTTATTTTATTTGCGCTCTTTGTGGAAGTTTATTATTTGGTTAATCTTCGCAGAAGTTCTTCTTTATATTTTAGAAGTTGAAGTGGCATACCCGAAATGCTTACGAGAAATCGTGGAAAGTTTAAATCAGTTGTTGAAATTCTTGGTCTTAAAAAGAAGAATAAGAAGTCTTCCTCTAGGGTCAAAGAATCATCTAAATCGGAATCTCCTTCGGGATCTAGAATCAAAAAAGTCTCTTCAATTAAATCGAAGAAGGTTGCACGTCGGAAGAACGATGCCCAGCTCGATGAAGCTTCAAAATTGGATAATGAAGGAAAAAAGCGCTTAAATATTGTTGGCGTTTCTGAGAATTCAACTGAGACTTCTCAATTTAAACCAACTGTCTCCACAAAGAAGCTTGAATCCAAAAATTCTCGGCAAAAGACGGGAAAGTCACGCATTTCTGTGAACGTAAATAAGAATTTTGCTCTTTGTGATCCAGATTTATTTGAACTTCTGGGAGAAATTAAACACACAGGTCGTCTCTTTCGTTCTCGGCGGAAATATTTGGCTACCAAGGCCAAAGAAAAACAGCAGCCAAAAGCGTTCTCACCTGCTAATTTCTATTTTAAAGATGATGCACAAGAAAGTCTTTTTAAAAGACTCGTTGAAACCTTGGAGGAGATAAACAGTGAGATGGATACAAAAGACGCCGTTCTTGCCTCTTGTTCTATAGTTCGTCCCGGAATACGAAAATCGCTGCGTATACGACGGAAACTACGTCGCAAAAACGCTATTGACTTATGCAAGGTAAGATTGCGTCCCAATCCCCGGAGGAAGCGCTTCTCAGATGCCTCATTGTCTGATGTGGAAATGGAAACACATTCAACTAATTTGAATAGAGGTGATCGTAATGTTAGTCTCGCCGCAAAGAAGCTTGCGATGGCTAAGTCCCGCGCTGTTGATGAGAGGAGAAATGCGAGTACCACTCGATCTAGAACTGCCAAATTCTCCTACCGAAGAAAGAAGGTTAGGTCTTTAAGAAGGAATACCGTGGGGAGACGAATGCGCGTTGGGGAGGTATCGGAAGATTATGAGGACAGTCTTAGTAATGAAGCAGCTCCTGTTCCAGAAACACAGGAACAGCCACAAGAAAGCACTGACGATCCCGAACACACAGCGGAAGAACAGCGTCGACGTATTATGAATCCTCAGTTGAGCTTGTTAGGCCGTTTGCTCCTAGGAATGCACTGTACTGCTGTGTCTGGTGAAAATGAAAATGAAATTCTCATAAAAAATCTCTCCAATGATGATTGTAAAATGCTTACTCAACGTATCACTGGAACTATCTTCACTTTGAAGACACTATCAACCATTAAAGACGAGGAGAGTGGCGAAGAGAAGTTTAACGTTGTTCTTGTATATTTGGACAATGCCCAATCTATCGTGAGCGATGAAATTGCACGATCTGAAGACGGTAACCAACAAATGTTAAGGAAAAAGCCAACACCAAATTTTTCCAGAAGCAAATCCGTTCGAGAAGGAAGAAAGCGCTCTGTTCGTCAAGCGCATCCCCTGCAAATCCTTGGTCTTAGGCATCTTCGGGCACAGGTGGAGGCTGCTAAGAATTCGCTTAGTGAAGTAAATCCAGATGAGACTAGAGCGTCTACCAAAACAGAGGAATCGCTGAAGCCAGAGTTGCCCAAATCACGTGTACTCCCTGCCTTCTTCCTTAATCATGTTCGACGTGCGCCTAGTAGAAGGGTTGTGCGCAAGGTCTATACTGGTAGTGCGCTGGTCCCAAAGATCCTTCACAGACGTCGTTCTCAAGCAACTGCCACCTCCAGTAACCAGCCTCATTTTGCACTTTCCCCGCAGTATTCTCAATCTCAGACTCCAGCGGTTACAACTTTATCAATGCCTTCTGAAAATACGCAGTTGCCACAAGTTCATGCCTCTGAAGTTACCAGTTCAACGATTCAAATCGTATGTCCTTTTATAGCCCTTCCCCATCTTCACTTTACGCCGATTTTATTAATTTATTTTTTTCTCTTTCCTGTGATTTAGGATAAGGATAATGAAGAAAATGCTGATTTGAAGAAGGAAGATATGACATCTGATAAAGAAGCTAATTCTACAGATGCTCATTCTATTTGTGCTGAACAGAGTTGTATTAATAATCCGGCTAGTTCAATGTCTGCAAGTCAGTTACTTAAACTCAAACGTCAACAAGATGATAAGCAAAACCCACAGCCCACATCAGGATCGTCTTCAGCTATCACAACTTCTGCAGTAACTTCGCTTGTCGATACGGTCGCCAAAATAACTCTTTCTAAACCAATTGCCGCAATTCCCACACTACAATCGACAACTCAGGTAATTTGTGTACTTTGTACACTGCAGGTATTTCTACTTAAAGAAAATAAGTAGTTTAGCCTTTTTACATATTTATTGTGCTATTCCATTGAGTCTTTTTTCATCAGACCTCACCATCGCTTGTGGTAGTTATGCGCAAGCCTCCAAAAGTTGAAAAACGCTTCAGTAGCGATAATGGACAAAATAAGAATTGCCATCACGTACTGCGAAGTCTCTTGGAAAGGTTTGTCGTTCAGTTCAGCGTTTGGTTTGATCGGCGAAAATTTGTTGCTTATTATTATTCCTTTGCCACTTCTTTCTTGCCTCCTTCCTTGACTAAAGTGTTCGTTGTTTTGTATGCTGATTAGCTAAAACTTACGCTTCCACACCCCTTCTTTTTTGTAGAAATTGACACAGGTTCAAGGACTGCGAATTGATAGATCCGGAAAGTTGGTGGCTTGCAGCTCTTCTTCTGTCATCACTTTACCTGCTTCTACGCCCGTTGTTACTCGAGCTAATCCCACCACTTCCACTCTCGTTTCTCGCGCAATGACATTCCTCGTTCCTTCTATCTCCTCTCCTGTTACTACAATCGTCAGTCATCAAATTCCCATAGTTTCACCACCTTTATTGCCTCATATTCAAGCCCAACGACCTAATATTGTTCCGACAAAGCGGGTACCCATAAGATCAGCAGTCACTCTTTCAGGTATCTACTTGTGCTACTACTTTGAAGCAAGTTTTTGAAAGTTCATTAATGGAGAGGTCTTGGATTTGTTATCTTATGAGCCAATTGGCAAGTCGTACTGTTCTAGTCATTGTATTAGCGTGGAGTAATAGATTTCGATTCCACCATAAGGTGCGCTCTAGAATTATTACCCTCCACTCAAGTCGCTTGTTTGAAATTGTGTTGGTTAGTGTATTTGACAATTAATGACGAATTGATCAATTTGTTATTTTTTAGCCAAGCTCCCTCTTATTCCGTTGGCAAATCCCTCAGCAGTCCCGAAAATGGACGGCAGTATCCTGACTAGTGCTGCCGTTGTTCAAACTCCTCCTGCTACCAGCTGTGCAGATCTTCCTTCTAAACGTCCAATGATTCATAAGTGCCATACCCTCAGAAAAATTTCTCCAAAAATTCCACCACTTCCTTCGGCGTCAGGTGCCAGTGCGTCTCCTTCAACGTTGAAGAGCATTCTGGAGTCTGGAAGTCGAACTTCTGAAGTTGTTTCGCCTACATCTTTGACATCTACTCAACTTCCCATTCGGAGTTCTTCCAACGATTCTACATTTGTAACCACTGTCTCACAGCCCCCGGTTATGTCCACTGGTTCGCGACAGGATAATCAAACCCCGTCTGCTCATCACCAGAGTCGAGGAACATGGCAAGTGGGAGGTCGAGCGATTGTCCTGGATGTTTCTCTGAATAGATGTTCGAATTCTACTGCTTCCCCGGCTCCCCAGTAAACTCTCGCATCTTCGATCGCTGTTGCTTGCCCCTGCGGTTTTTGGAGTAACACAACTCCAGTTCTCTTAATGTTTTGTTTTCCCTCTTTAAATCATTTTGTGGCTAGCATTCTCTTCCAATCATGGGAAACCGTGGACAAGGAAAAGATCGTTGTGCCTCCTTTTGGAAGAGTTTCGTAATTGGTGGCTGTGATGACTTCTTTCCCCCCCCCCCTTCCACCTATCCTATATATTTCTCTCTAACGTGATACCGCGTAGTGTCTATCTATGTGTTTAGTGTATTTTCTTTACTCTTCCAGCGAGTAATTTTACTGGTATTAGACATGTGTTCTTTTCTGTCCTTAATGGCTTGTTCATTACAGGTAAATTTGTTATTTTATGGGTTAGTGGTCTTGTGAAATCGAATTTATCAAGTGAGTTTTAACGATGCCTATCCTGTGATTTTATCAGTTAATTATCTAATAGTGCCATTGGTTATTTACTGAGTTCTTATATTAATGTGATATCAGTGAAGTTGGTTTAATTTTTCTTTTTCTGGCAACCTCGAATGCCCTCGGAATGAGAAAATGTAGGCCAAAAGGAAGCATTTTGACGTTTTATCCAACCAGAGATTTTCCTGGTTTAACCCAGGGAGATTTACATACTTATTGGTATAGCTATCATGGAAAGTGGGTGTGAATTGGTATTAATGTGATTGCATTAGGGAATTGAATAAGTTTAATTTCGCAATTATTGGTTTCATGAGCAATATTTTTTCCGCTTGATTACAGCTGGCGGGTGTCATATTACGATTTAGTGACTGCGAAAAGATAATACTTGAGTAACAGCATACTAATTAACGATGAATTATTTAAATTACTAATTCGCTCACGAAATTTGGAAATTGTCATGTCTACATGCAAAATAGGCTTAAACGGACGCTATTAAGTTCGATTAGATTGATATTAAGTTGGGTAAATCCGGTGCAGACTCAGGTATCGCTAACGTTAGAATGCACCTTAAGTGAAAAGTAGTGAGTTTCATGCTGTATAACTTACTCTGATATCGCATATTCATAAGTGGATCAAAGTGACAAGATCCATTGCTAATGAAAAACGCGTCTTGAATATATTAAGGCAATCCTTAAATGTGAAATTTGAAGCTTTGCAAAATGAGCTTTTGAACAAACTGTAGACAAGATGAGTAATTAAGGCAGAATATACAAGTAAGGATGCATTGTCTCGAATCTATTCATTACTTCACCTCGTTCCAAGTTAACTCTTTTGAGTTTGCCCGCACTTTATTGAACTCACTTTTGAATCGTAGACGATAATTTTAAATTGATTGCTTATTGGAGCGATGAAGAAGACAATATCAATTGAATATTCACGAGATACTTTAACTCGCCCATTTGAACCATCCGGGCTTTCTCGCCTTTAGAGTTGACGTTAGTTTCGCTTTTTACTGGTTTCCCATCCTCCCTCCATTCTTCGGTTTTTTACTTCAGAGTTGTTCGATTCGCAACTTGACGTATGGCACTGAATAGGGAAGAAGTCATTCCATTCTGCTAGACTTTAAGAAAGACTATTTCCATGGTCAGGAACTATTTCTAAGTCGAACTTGTAACCCTCCGAAAGTTGTTGCATTGTCAGAATTAGTGCTCAATTTAATTCTGTGAAGCTTCCAGTGTTCCTTTTCTCTTCCATGACTTTAAATTGCATTTCGCAGAAATTTCAATCATGACAAGCAAGTAATTCGTTTGAACGAAAGTACTGTGGAAAAGGCAAATGTAGTAAGGATTTAACCGAGATTATTTAAAAAAACAGAATTGGCATAGTGAAAAGAATCGAAATGGCAGCACCAGTTATTAATACGTACTGATGAATGTTGATAGGAAATCGAATAATAGTCCTTTGGACAAAATTCGAATTTGAGTGCATGAAGATTTGAGTTATCTAGAAAGTGATTCTTGAGCAACACGATTCTGGAAACTTGAAGTCAATGTCATACATTGCTCTGGGTTTCTACTGAAACTAACTTGGTAGTGCTTAAACACTACTTAATCCGCGTAATGTAGAAAAGAGATTTGGAGTAACAACTTGTATTTTCAATCAAACTTGCCGGGGAATCGGACATACTGGTTCATAAACAAATGCAACTCTAAAGATATTAATTGAGAATTGCTTCACGAATAACTTTGCTCCGAAATTGTACGTAGTACTTTGAATGCTTTTTGTGAAGATTTAAGTGGTTTTCAGGACAGATATATATATATATATATATATATATATATAGACTTTCTGAACATTGATGACATGCTAATAATCGAATTTGGTAAACAGAAAAATGAGCTATTGTTAATCACTTTAAGCTTGCCTGATTGTGAGGCTAAACAATTTGTGAACTAAATGTTATCATTACTAATAGAATTCAGTAGAATATATGCATTGAAGTGTAACCGGGAAAGATTTGTGTGGAGTTGAGGATAAAGGGAGATAAAGAAATAATTAGTAAACAAAGCGACATTATGCACAGCGTATATTTTTATGATAGTCATTACTTTCAAAAGTAATTATACAGTTGCTGCATGTTCTATAAATCTTGATATGCTTTTAGTTGCGTCGAAAGATTAGATATCATTTTTGTATGCTAATGTGTTTGTGCTCTGCTTATACTTGAGTGTATTATGGTGATTTCTAAGTGAGACGCTTGAAGCTGTTGTGATTCATTTCAGCTTAACAACAGAAAATCTAATAACGAATATGAATACGATGCTCATAAGGATCATTTAATTGTACTATCTGTATGCTTAAAGCAAATGAGATGCACAAATGCCCTTTAAATACTCAAAGAATCAATACCATTTTGACATATTTAACCTCCATTGAAGGCAAAATGTCCTTGGAATAGTAAATGCAAAAGAACAGTAACCGGCATTCGTGTAAGTGCATACATTGCAAGCTTTTTAGTTGTACATCAAACTTTGTAATATTAATAAGTCTAATTCAATCTCAGCCCTAATTGATTTTTAACGTTTCTACCGGTGATTGTTTTAGAGTCTCAAAACTAAATAACACATTTCAATAATTCAATTCCTTTCCTCGTTGTTCTAAACCTTTCTCATTAAAACTCATAAAGAAATGTTATAGTTCCAATACATGCGTAAGCCTTCATGAAATTTGAGGTAAATTCTAACGATTATTACGGTTGCTAACTTTGAAATTTTATCCAAATCATCAGGCGTCTTCGTTGGACTTTGTTTGAACGATGCAGGGTCCAAAATAATTTAAAATCAAATTAAAATTGCCCTTAAAATACTAAAAGCGTAAGTACAGCAACTGATAAGTGCTCATACTTTCATCGCGACTCTGAGTTTGAAATTATGCAAACCTGAGGTCAACCTATAAATAATCTAGTTTCATGCAATAACTGACCTTATGTTTGCCTCAAAGTGCTAAGCCTTGAACCCAAATATTTGGAACAAATACCAGTGCCCGCATCTAGTATATACGCTTATCTTTTACCTAATTCAACAGCAATAATTAAATTATTGCATAGCTGAAAATGAACTTTTCTCTAAGATGTCGAGCTTTTGTGTTTAATTCCGTTTAATTAATGCGTAAGGAGTTAGTTAGTAGAAATTTCCCATCCACATCAGTGCTAAGTGAAGATTCATATTTAGTAATTTTGTTCATTGTTGTCCACGTAATCTTTATTTAAATATATTTGTTGTGTTGGCATAATGCAGAGCACCATTATGAACGTTGCTTTAAATATCTTATTGCTACCGGATTTGTTATTTCCACTTTTAAAGTCTTTCACGTTATTTCATTATTTTCATTATAACAGAGGATTTGTGGCCCTTGTCTTATTGTGCAATTATGAAGCTATGATTGGTGAAATATTTGATTGTCATTAATAAGGAACGTACGAGGGAATGTATCTACTTAAAATGTTAGTAATATGTCGTCGAAAGTAATAAAGTCATTATACTCGTTAGCTAACGAAAATTTTTCAAAGCCACACATAGAAAAGTAAGCTTTTTCCTCCTTCCTTTGGCATTATTAAAGTTAAAGTGGAATTATGGGAAGGGCAATGAAGAGGAATCGAAAGAGAACACGTGATACGTCAAGAGTGACATATTATGTTTCAGCCTATTTCATACAGAGGCGGATCATCGATTGAAGTTTGGAGAGATTCTTTTCTGTTTTTTAGATGTAAACCTCGATATCTTATCTAATCCTAGCCTCATTTGCCAAATAGAATACACTTTGACAGTTCAATCTACAATTAAAGATGGAATTTTTATCGATTTGATATTTTCTAAAGATGGTCGGCCTTGCAAGCACCAGTAATGTAAAACATTTAATAAATTGGATGGGACCTGGATTCAGAATTTGTTTAACTTCTAATCAATGGTTTGAGTCATTGAAGTGCCGTTGGAATTGTCTATAAATAATCTAAAATGATCAAGAATGCTATGTATGCAAGAATATTGACAGTGATTGTGCAAAATGTAGGCTAATAATGATAAAGCCAACTGCGAATTGATCTAGGTTTAAGAAAGCTTAATTTCACTACCTTTCATCAGTTAATTTAAAAGTACAGACGGTGGAGTTTTGGCCTAGAGGATCTGGAAATACGGATATCGCGAATTGAAATTAAGGGATTATATTGTGATGAGTTCAAGCACTTTAATTTCAATTCAGTGCTCTTTTAATAAGGTCGTAAGTGCTTGTGAATTAAGATCGAACAGAATTAGCAACTAGAAGCAAAAATGAGAATAATACGTATTTAAAGTGATTCAAGCTAATGTTTCAGATGTCAATATTGTTATAATGGGAATATTTCCCGGTAAAAATGTTGCAGGATTTGGAATGCTCGACGGCTTTTAACTTGGATAAAATACGACACAAAAGCAATTGAACACGAGTATAAAGAAGCCAATAGCATGAAATGCTCGTAATAATTTGATTAATTTTTTACTTTTTCATTAACAAATTCAAAAATAAACAAATTGG